CCTCGACAAGGGCGGTTTAGATAACGCCACGTTAAAACTGCGAATTGCGCGCTTAACGGTCTTATATCACGCGTACGAAGAGTATAACGACGAGTTCGCGTTGCTAGACTCGAGCGATGGGCATCAAGCTGAGTTCACGAATATCCAAGAACGCTTTTATTCCTTCGCCGACAGAATCGAGAATATCTTAAACGCGGCAGACCTTTCGGCCGCGAGCACTAGCGGAATGAGTAACGAAACGCGAGTTACCGATGGCGAAAATGTAACGCCTATTGCAAAGCGGCGAATTAAGTTGCCTCAGGCTCCCTTGCCCACATTCGACGGTAGTTACGAGGGCTGGTTAACATTCAAAAACGCGTTTCGCGATATGATAGATTCACGGGAAGATTTGTCAGATATTGATAAGCTGCATTACTTGAAATCAGCGTTAAACGGCGAAGCAGCCAACAAGATAAAAATATTCGCCGCCGATAGTATAAATTATTCCAACGCGTGGAAATTATTAGAGCGTTCGTACGAGGTGAAGCGAATACTAATCTCCCGGCATCTCTCGTTGATTCAAAATCTACCGGTGCTTGACAAAGAAAATACGAGCGGTCTATCTAAACTCGCCGACGATGCGCAGCAACACGTCGCGTCGTTAAACGCGTTGGGCGTCTCTGTCGGGCCGGAAATGATGGTTCATATTCTCGAAAGTAAACTGCCGAAAGTCACGTTGGAAAAGTGGGAGCTAACTCTTGAGCGAGACGAATTCCCAAAACTTGATCAGATGTATGAGTTTTTGTATAAGACTGCAGTGTGCGCGTCGAAACGCGAAAGATCGAGACCGGCGGAGGCCGAGAAATGCAAGGGCGAACCCCCGGCTAAGAGGAAGCAAAGTTATCCCGCGAATAAAGCTTTCATGCTGGATGCATCGCGTAATTGCGTTATATGTAAGGCAAGGCGACATCCGTTATACCTTTGTGGCAAATTCAAGCAGTTAACGGTGCCTAAACGTATTGAGGCAGTAAAGAGCGCAAAAATTTGCTACAACTGTTTGCGCTCTCACCGAGATCGCCCTTGCAGATTCTCTGGTTGCACGATCTGCCAGAAGCGGCATAACACGCTTCTGCACCTCAACGGATACGTGGCCGCAGGTAAACCCGACGGGAAGAAGCCGGAAGTTGCGCAGTCCGCATGACTAGCCGGCGCGGGCAACGACGGCGTTGCAACGAGTCTCGCGGCGGTATCTTACGAGACGACGCCGCAATTGTTAACGAGCGCGATGGTATACCTGCGGGACAATAAGCGCAATCTTGTTAAATGCCGGGCGTTGTTGGACACGGGCGCGACCGCTAATTTCATATCCGAGAGCATCGTGAAACGCTTGCGCGTACCCGTGAGTGCGCATTTGACGACGATCGGGGCAATTAATTCCACGAACACTGTCTCGAAAAGTATAACGCGAATTAACGTGCAGTCGACGCGCGGCGATTTCAGCAGGGATATGACGTGCTTAGTTATACCGGCTATCGCAGACCTGATACCGTCGGAAGTTTTTCCGCGGGATTTGATCGAGATACCTTCGAACATAAAGTTAGCGGATCCAGATTTTTACTTGCCGCGCCCCGTTGATTTATTGATCGGTGCCGGAGCCACGCTATCGCTATTTTCCATTGGGCAGATCAATTTGTCGCGTGAAGGGCATGACTTGTATCTGCAAAAGACGCGTTTAGGTTGGATCGTCGCGGGAAGCGCGGCGCCATCCGCCGCGTCGAACACCGGGACGTGTTATCTGACGAGATTAGAGGCTCAACTCGATAAATTTTGGGCATTGGAAGAAATACAGGCGAGTAAACCGCGCTCCGCGGAAGAGATCGAATGCGAGGCGCATTTCGTAAGAAACACTTGTCGCGATAGCAACGGGCGCTACACGGTTCGTCTGCCGTTTCGCGAAACGAGCAAGCGTCTTGGCGATACGCGGTCTGTTGCATTGAAGCGTTTTCTGACATTAGAGCGAAAATTTCACGCAAACACATCATTAAAAAACGAATACACGTGGGTAATAGAGGAGTATATAAAATTAAATTATATTTCCGCGGTTACGGATCCTACGGGTGACGGATATTACATGCCTCATCACGCAGTAATAAAGGAATCGAACAATACTACCAAGGTTAGGGTCGTGTTTGACGCATCCGCGAAGGCGAATAACGGCGTGTCTCTAAATGATACGCTAATGATAGGACCTATAATCCAGGACAAGCTGTTTGCACATCTCATTCGATTCCGAACGTATAAATATGTCATTAACGCGGACATCGAGAAAATGTATCTGCAGGTACGCTTGCACGAGGACGATAGGCGATATCAACGAATTCTCTGGCGTGAGAAGGACGAGATTCAAACGTTTCAATTTAACACGCTCACGTTCGGGGTTTCGTCATCGTCATTTTTAGCAATTCGGACTCTTCAACAATTGGCAGACGACGAGCGTCACGCGTATCCTAGGGCGGCCGCAGTCCTTAAGGCGCATTTGTATGTCGATGATCTCTTATCGGGAGCCGATAGTATTGACGAGGCTCGGGCAATCAGGGACGAAATTATCGCGCTGCTTGCTCGGGGTGGGTTCTCTATACGGCAGTGGGCATCAAATGATGAACGCGTCATTGATGATCTCGCATCTGGCGCGCTGCATGCGAGTTTCGCGTTTGGTAAAGATCGTTCCTTGAAAGCGAACGCTTGGCATAACGTGGTGCGCGCAGAGAGACGAGATACGCTACACAGCCCAACCTATTAGGATCCCGGAAAGATTGACGAAACGAAACATACTGTCAGAGATCGCGAAAATTTACGACCCGCTGGGGCTGCTGG